CAACCTCTTTTATACCTTTAATAAATTCTTTATAAATTCTTAGTGTTTATAAAAAGAGAAAAATACTCCAATCAGCACTCATTACCAAAGTTCTATAATTCTTCCAACAAAGACATTTATTGTATGTGTACTCTTAATGAAAATTACACCACGATCTCTGTCAAAATCTACAGCTCCGGCTACGTTGTTGAAGACAAAAATGATTGCGGTGGCGATCTGGGAGGAAAGGGCGATTACAGGGAAGCCGGTGGCGGCGAAGAAATTAAACGTGTGCTTCGTCGCCCTTCTCCAATCCAAATCTCGCTTTTGTTCTCCATGTATTTAATATATGAAAATTGCACTTGTCAAACATACCAAATAATACAATGATAAGAATATATATCATGATTTTTTCTTATATTGTAAAAAGAAACTAAGTACAGAGTATGTTTTGGTCACATAGACAACAAGTGTCTGTAATTCATCGTAAACAGAAACTTATTTTCTGTAAAACCTAAATACAAATTTACATATGTCAAATATACCAAATAATGTTATCATAAAGAATGTTTCACAAGTTTCTCTAGATTGTAAAAAAGAAAAAAAATTATAATTACCACTGTTTAGTTACACAAACACTAAATATCTATAATTCTTGATACACAGACATTTATTATTTGTGTAATTCAGATAAAAATTTCACCCTTCAAATCTATGAAATAGTAATGTACCAAGAACATTTCTGAAATTTTCTTATGTTTAAAAAAATGAAAAATTACAATCAATATTGTTTAGTCACACAGACACTAAAAGTCTTTATTTTCTTGAACACAGACATTTACTATTTGTGTAATCTGAATCAAAATAGACATTTACTCTCTATGTAAATATATTTCACAGACGAGGAATGTCTGTAGAATCATTATTTATTCTCTTCCACAACTATTCAAAATTAGCGCAACCTTGTTCAATTTTTTTTATTTAATAAATCCTCAAACACTTTTAAAAAACACAAATCTTACAAAATAGCAAATATTCAATATCTATGCAACTTCATTGTAAAAGTTCTATGAGAAAGTTTCTCACAGACACCCTATACCTGTGTGGTTCTTAAAATGATGAAATATCATTATTTCACAAAAAATATTAAATCAGACTCCAAGAAGTCACAAATAAACATCTATGACCAACAATAATCATAGTAAGAAGTTTTCACACGGATTTGATTTGAACAAATCAAAAGATTGAGGTGTTGGTGGTGACGGGGAAGGAGCAGATGATGACAGAGTTGATGCAGTGGCGATGGGTAAGGTGGTGGTGGCAACCACAGGGAAGAGACCGCGGCGGAGGAGATGATGCAGCGCTGGGAAAGCGATGCTTTTGGTCGAAGAAGAGAGAGAGACGGTTGCTTCTCTTATCATCTCTCGTGGTCTATTTTGTGGTGGAAAAGAAAAGGGGGGGAGGGGGTATATGGGGTACAAGCTGGGGTACACATGTGGTGTACCCCTAGCATATCCGTTTCTTTTATGTGGCGGAGAAATCTACTCTCGACTACGAGAAGTGATTGCGTACTGCGCACTCGTAGTCACAATTTTTATTCAGCTTTGGGGGGACAACGTGGTGTAGTCTTAGCGGGATTAAATTGAAGGAATGGGATAGGGTACACCAAAGGTGAGTGAAGTTCAAAAAAAAATTTAAAATAAAAATAAAATAAAAAGGCAAGTGAAGTTCAAAAAAAATTTAAAATAAAAATAAAATAAAATGAATGGTAAAGGGTGAGCCGGTGAGGTGGTGTACATTTGGGGTACACCTAACATCTCCCTAAATTGAAATCTGAACATGGGATGGGGTAATTTTTCATTGTGGCGAGAATTTTTAAAGAAATACATTTTGTTTAGAATGTGATAGACGGTTTGGAATCTCTACATTCTGTAAAATCAATTAATTGTTTTAAGTTTACGCAGAGTTATATGGATTTTACAGTATTTTTTCAACAGGATTTTAGAAGATTTTAGTAGATTATTTATAATTCATGGATTATTATTATTTATATATACATTTGAATTATTTTTAAAATTCATACATTACTCTAACATTAATTATATTTATAAAATTGATCAAAAACTCAAAAAATAATACAATAAAATAAAAATAAATTATTTTTTAAACATTATTATTATTCATACTAAATGCTCTATTTTTCATGTATATCAAATTTTACCAATAAAAAATTAAAGACAACAAAAAAGATAAAAGACATTACTCAAAATTCAGAGAAAATTCAAGAATAAAATTATTAAATAATATAGCTCTCTCACCTATCACTTTTTCAATTTATTTATTACCGAGAAAAAAAAGCACATTTTCTATTATCTATTAGATAAGAACAAAGAATATTTCACAAGCAAATCAGAATATGAGTACGTACCATAAAAACATAATGCAAAACTACAATACGAGTTTATATATACCATAAGAAGATATTAAACCAAATATATTTTAAAACAACTTAATTTTCGACCTCTCGTGCATTGCTATGATTTTCATCTCTCGCATTGATTAAAAATACCAGAATGATTTTTCTCTCCTCGCATAAGTAAAAAAATAAAATTTTGGATAAGCAATACTATGATTCAAAAATATTTAAAAATTTAAAAATATCCAATGATTATATTCATTTTCATTAATTAAAAAATTAATATAAAAATCAGTGATCCTATGATTTTGAATAGAAATTTACAAAAAAATTGATAATTTTTTTGTGTTTTTTTCTTTCTATTTGAATACAAAACTATTTATTTTTTTAATTTATTTGATTTAAATATTTAACTATTTAAAAAATAGTCTAATTGTTTGTAGTATTTTAGTGTAGAGATTAAAATGTATTTTTTATATTTTATTTTATATCAATATTTAAATAAATAAAATCAAAACTAACTTGATTTAAGAATGTCATAAAAGATATGATTTTTAAAGGTTATGAAAGTATCTTTTTAAAGGAAAAGAATCTTATTCGTTCATTGATAGTTTTATTATAAATAAAGTTAAAAAATATAAAATTAGAAAAATATATACTAATAAAAGCAATGATCTCTATTCCATAATTAAATTTACTAAACAATGTTGAAATCATAAATAATGTTAGTGTAAACATTGTATGTCTGGGCAATACATTTTTATATATCAATTGTTAACTACTCCCTCCGTCCCACTGTCTTTGTCCACTTACCTTTTGGCACACCATCCAATGCACTTCTTTAATCCATTTTATCTTATAATTTGTATATTAAAAAATTATAGAAATTATATATTAATAATCTATATGTTAAGACAAATCAAACAAGATCACACATGACTATATTTAGGCTTACACATTGAGAAAATTTGATGAGTCAAAGTGCTTAGATGAACAGTTCCAAAAGTCAAAAGTGGACAAAGACAGTGGGACGGAGGGAATATAATTTAATTAAAAATATCATATCACAATAGATACCTAAAAATATTATATTTTTCAATTTAAATCATAAATAATCTAAGGACTATAAAATTTATTTCATGTAAACGTATAATAAACTACTATAAAATTCATTAATAGGTGAAGAGAGTAATTTATTTATTATTATAAAAAAATGTTATACACGAAGAAAAAAAATATAAAATTTGGAAAGAATACTATTATAAAGAAGATTTTTCTCATATTTAAATTTACTCAAATATTTCATACTAAGCTTATAATATTATATTTTCCATATAGAACATTATGTGACATGTCATCTCTTAGCAAGACCACGTCTTAGCTTCTTAGATTTGGAATATTAAATTTATATATAAAGGAAAAGATATACGGAGTATCTTTTTATGTAGTTTTTAAAATATATTGTTTGTTTTTAATTTTACATCAGTATTATAATAAATCAAATCAAAACTAACTTTAATTTAACATATCATAAACAAATACTTGTATCACATTGATTTAGAGGTTAAAAACATCTTATTTATTGGTTAAAAGCTTTATAATAATAAAAGAAGAGAGTAAAAAATATTAAATTGTGAAAGAATATTATCATTAAAATGAATGTTTCTTTTCCATATTTAAATCTATTCAAAGATACAATACCAAAATATTGATTTCACATTTCATATATCTTAAATTAAGTGGCCTATTAGATTATTAGTTGTCAAAATAAATATAAAATTTATTTATATGTGAAGAAAGCATTTTACTTATTTGGTGTCAACATTTAAATAAATATAATCAAATTAATTTCATGTAAATGTATAATAAACAATTATAAAATTTATTTATAGGTGAAAAGGGCATTTTATTTATTATTCTAAAAAATTTTTATAAATGAAGAGGAAAAAAATTAAGAATTTGAAAAGAATATTATTATAAAAAAGATGATTTTCCCCATATTTAAATTTACTCAAAATTTCTTACCAACTTTATAATTTTACATTTTCCAAATAAAAAATTATGTGACATATTTGGTGTTAGAAAAGGCAACATAAAAATTATTTTCGTTTCTTTTTATTCAATTATAAATTGGGTGTATGTCATCTCCTAACAATGCCAAGTATTAGCTTCTTAGAGTTTGGAGTTTTTAAATTTATATATAAAGGATTTATAGAAGTATTTTAAAATATTGAAGACCATTTATTTAAATCTTAGAATTGGAGACTAAATATGAAAAATCACTTATGATTAGAGACCAAATATAGAATTTACTTTCAAGATTATATTTTTATTTCTATCTTTGTACTATAATATTATTCATCAATTATAATAATTATTACTATCATATTTAAAATTAGTGTGTTAATCATGAATTTTATTTTTATTCCTATTAGTACTTTTTATTTATCTCCCATAGATATTCTGATTATCTTTTTTAACATTTAAAATATCATAATTATCTCAACTTACTTTATTTATTGCACCTCTACCATTTCATTATATACTCCATGCATTTTCATTAAGATTATTTTAGTAAACTTTCATGTTTTATCAAGTCTCCTAAAAATCACAAAAAATCAAAACGACGAGATCTTAGGGTGGCGGAGGGAGTAGTTAATAATGTTAAAAAAGTAAACAAAAAATTAACAAAAATCCGATAAGGAAAGAATTCCTTAAATCATCAGGTAAAAATTACTTAAATTACACAAGGCAAGAATTATTAAAATCATTGAGTAAAAATTATGAAAATTACATAATGCAAAAAATTATATTTAAAATTTTAAACTTATATATTTATAACTTAGTAAACAATAAAAGTTGACTTTAAATAAGGCAAAAATTTGGACTTAATCATAATTGAAACTTATATTTAAATTAAAGTACCACCCCAAATTAGCTTTATTATGGCAAAAACATGAACTTTTAATAATGTAACTAAGGCATAAAATAGAAAACACATAATTGTTTTATTAAAGTTATAAAATGAATAATTATAACTAATAAAAATGTAATAACAAAATTAAATATAAATATTAACACATTCTCTAAAAATGACATGACATGCTGACATGTCAAAAATGGCCAAGTGTATTGTCTACTTGTCGAATTATCTTGGAGTCTCAAACATTACAGTAAAGATACTCCCTATAACATTTTTTTTTATCAAATGGGGAGGGGGGAAACCCGGAACTAACTCGTCTCCTCAGGAGAAGTAACTCTGTGAATTCTGGTAACGCCTATCTTGTCCCTTGTAATGATGTCCTCCATCCCAGGTGGGGGAACTTCATGCTCAATCCAATCAGCATGCTGAAAAGCTCCAATACTAGCCATGTGGTCAGCCGCAAAATTTTGTTCGCGGAATATGCTCTTTATCTTGATCCTTCTATACTTAGTTTGCCACTTCTTAATGTTATCAATGATGTGACGAGTAGGTCCTCTAAGTGAATTATTGTCAGCAATCCACTTAACAGCCTCACCTGCGTCCGTTTGAATCTCAAGTTCTCGAACTCCTTGTTCCCAAGCCCACTGAATACCCGCAGAGATGGCCATAACTTCCACCGATGTTGCACTCCTTTCTCTAGCCTTGGCCGTAAAACCACCTTTCCACTCACCTCTGCTATTCCGAAGGACACCACCGATACCTGCTTTGTCGATGAATGTTTTGCAACTACCATCAACATTGAGGGTCCATTCACAATCTTGAGACATCTTCCACCTAAGCGAGCAATCGGCTGAGTTGGGAATGTTGCCCACCATCCGCTGTCTCCGAAAAGCAGTATTAATTTCTCTAACTGCCTCTTTGATCCAACTGATCTTCCGTTTATCTTCCAGCTCCTCGCCACTAAAAGTCCTAGCATTTCGCCATCGCCATATCCACCAGCAAGCAGTGGCGAAAGTGATACCCCAGTCGTTGTCGATGTTGTTGTGTATCTTCTGTGAGACATTTTTGTAGATCCAGTTCTTGACCTCACCATCGCTATTTGTGTTCATGTTGACCCCAATGTCATTCCAGACACGTTTAGCCTTGATGCAAGACCTAAATATGTGATCAGTTGTCTCTTCATGCCCGCTGCATATGAGGCAGCTACCATCCGCCGTCAAGCCTCTCCTCTTGCGCTCAGCGTTTCCCAACACTCTATCGTGGCTCATGGTCCATAGCAGAAGTTTGATCTTGCTTGGGACCTTGAGTTTCCAAATCATTGACCAACTTTTTTCCTGCAGATTAGAGTTAACGCCCTTAATCATGTTATATGCTGAAGCAACAGAGAACTTACCTGAAGGTTCGTGCTTCCAGTACACTTCGTCTCGTCTACTTGAGCATCTATCAAGCACCAACAAATGTAAATAGGATACAATATTTGCTGGTAAATTGGGAAGGTGGTCCCATTTCCACCCGCTCATGTCATCCCACATATCAGCGACAGCTGCATGCATGTTACGTAGTGCTCCCACGTCCTGGATGAAGTTAATCAACGGCTCCTCTCCAACCCATGTATCCAACCAGAACTTTGTTTGGGTGCCGCTATTGATCTTGTGAATAAAGCTAGTGCCCACCAATTGCATGGCATTAGTAATTCCTTTCCAAACATTAGAATCACCCTTCGTGCTTTGAAACATATCTTTTCTCGTTCTATGTCTTGCATACTTAGATATTAATACTCTAGCCCACAAGCTGTCTCTTTCATTTAAAAGACGCCACCCAAGTTTAGCAACAAAGGCTATGTTCATCTCCTTGGCACTTTTGATTCCAAGACCCCCTAAGTCAATTGGTTTTGTCACTTGTTCCCAACTAAGAAGGTGACATCTCTTTTTTTCCGTGGTGCTGCCCCAAATGAAGCCCCGAACTCGTTTATCAATTTCCTCAAGGATTCCTATCGGTAGCATCATTGTTTGCATGACGTAGTAAGGAATAGTACTGAGTGCGGATTGCGCGAGAACACGTCTGCCCGCAAACGTAAGCAGCTTGGTTTTCCAGCCCTCCAACTTGGCACTGAGTCTGTCTAGAATAGGATTAAACAAGTTGTTTGTTATGCTCCCGTGAATGGACGTGACTCCAAGGTATTTGCCAAGATCACGGGTTTGAGGTATTCCAACCAAATTAGTGATTTCACTAGCTTCTTCTGTCGTTACATGTTTAGAAAAGAGGATCTGAGACTTGTTAAGGCTCACCCTTTGGCCAGAGGCTCGACTAAATTTGTCCAGACAATTTTTAATGATCACCATCTGGTCCTTAGATGCTTCTGCAAAAAGAACCATATCGTCAGCAAAGAAAAGGTGGGTCAAGAGAGGACCATACCTCGAAGTGCGGATCCCTTTCCATATCCCTTGTGTAGTTGCTTCTCTAATGATGTGGTTAAATCTCTCCATGCAGAGGACAAAGATATACGGAGAAATAGAGTCCCCTTGCCTAATTCCCCTAGAAGGCTTTATCCACTCAAGCTGTTGCCCATTCCAAATGATGCTTAATTTAGCCGTTTCAACACAAGCCATAATGTTTCGAACCCATTCTTTGTGTAACCCAGTTTCTTCAAGAGTGTCTTTAATAAAACTCCAATCCAGTCTGTCATAAGACTTCTCAAGGTCAATTTTGAGGATCATATATTTTTTGCCTTCCCGAGCAGTGCGAATGGTATGAAGTACATCTTGATAAATGAGAATATTGTCCACAATTTGTCTTTCCAGAACAAAACTGCTTTGTTCAGGCCCAACAAGGTCTTTGAGGATAGGTTTTATTTTGTTAGTCATAGTTTTCGTGATTATTTTATAAATCACGTTACATAGACTAATAGGTCGGCGCTGACTCATGCTCTCAGGAGTGGCAGTTTTAGGGATGAGGGTCACAAGAGTGTCGTTGATTCCTTCTTCCAGGTAACCCGTATTAACAAAATCACAAACCTGTTTGTGCACGGAAGTCCCAACCACTTTCCAGGCTTTTTGATAGAAGCTTGCGTGAAAGCCGTCGGGTCCGGGAGCTTTGAGTGGGGCCATATCGAACAAAGAAGTCTTCACATCTTCCATTGTAATCTGTTTGTAGACTTCTTCCCATTTGTCCGCCTCTATGGTCGGGAACTTGCCTTTCGGAAGATCACTAAAATCAACTTCCCCTTCTTTAGTAAAAAGATTATCATAAAATTGGGTAGCTATCCTCTCCATGTCTTTGTCTTTAAGATAGGAGCCATCATCTGCTTTGAGTTGGATTTTCTGTCTTCGAGCCTTCTTCATATTGACAATGGTGTGATAATACTTGGTGTTCAAATCTCCCGAAGTGATCCACTCCTCCCAAGACTGTTGATACCAAAATATTTCTTCCTGGTGAAGTGTATTATCAAGTTCCCTCCTTAGCTTCTTCTCAAGTTTGATAAGGCCGGAATGGGGGTTGTTGTCCAAAGCTCGTTGAATCCCTTCAAGTCTCTTGGTCAACTGCTTCTTTCTCTGGTGGATATTCCCAAAGGTGGCCCGGTTCCAAATTTCAAAAGCAGTAGCCATATTATTAATGTTTTTCCAAACATTGTCCTCCTTGTTCCAAGTTTCCTCAATCATGTCCAAAAAATTAGGGTGTGTAGCCCAAGCCCCTTGATATCTAAAGCCATTCTTCCTCGTACAGAGTTGGATCCCCTAGAGAGATTAAGATCGGATAGTGGTCAGATTTACTTGAGGCAAGATGATGTACCTCAGTTTTTATGGTTTTATCAAACCAGTCGATCGAGCACAAGACTCTGTCTAAACGGGCTCCTTTGAAATTGGTGTTGGCATTCCCTCTTTTCCAAGTAAAGCATTGGCCAGTGTATCCCAAATCAATCATAGCTTCATCAAAAATCCATTGATTGAATCTGGTACACCTGTGGGTGTCAAACTGCTCCGGGTTACTAACTTCCTCTTTCTTTTGTTACGTGAAGCTACCATCCAGGATCCATAGCTTTCCACTGCTTCCGGTCTCACACTCTCTTTACTTGCCTTGTGTGCGCTCGATGTGTCCACCAATTGTGTTCCCTTCCATTGTTGGTAATTGTTCCTCCTCTCCAATCTCGGTGTTTGCTTGCTCAGTAGTCATTTTCTTCGGGCAGCCTTCGACAGCATGTCCATGGATTCCGCAATTGAAGCATATCATATGGAGCCCCTCATACGATACACATCTGATGCGTCTCCTAAGCTTGAACTTAGAAAGAAGGGGCTTGGTTATATCCACTTCCACACACACCCTTGCAAACCTTGCTCGGGAAACAAGACTCGTCGCTGTATCAATGGTTATCGGCCTGCCAACCTTTTCTGCCACGCGCATAAGAAAACTATAGTCGTAGTATTCTACTGGTAGGCAAGGGAACCGAACCCACACAAGCATCTTTTCAGTTTCATCTATAAACGGATCAAAATTTGGCACCCACTCTTTCACAATAAGATAGTGATCCAAGACCATCCATGGACCCCCATATTTGGCAAATTCATAGTCATCGATCGACAAAAATTTAACAAGAAAGTAGTCATTGTCGAGGGTTACCAGCTCCATTCTAGACTTTAGATGCCAAATGGTCATTAATCAGGGGTGTTTGTTTTTTGGCCAGAAGAGCTTCTGGCCTCTTTTGTCTGCGCCGCGCAGACGCGCGCAGATGCTGAGCTCTGCAGATTGTTTGTTTTTTGGAAGACATTTTACTCAAAAAGGTCTTCCTGACATCTTCTTGAAGAAGACATTAACATATGTCTTTTAACATCTTTTAACATCTTCTCCATTTTTTTTCTTCTACTTCTCTTCACCACCACCACCGTCCACCACCATCACCACCGTCCACCATCACCGCC